TGATGCAGAATCAAACCCGTGTGTAAGTCTTTGCAGGACTGGAGTCTTCACTGGCAATATTAAGGTCTAATTAGAGGTCTAGAAAAGTCAGCGTCTTTCCCCTCACCCTCCATAGAATTTAAATGGATATGAAATACCCATTCAACTGATAAAGCCCTATGTGCAATGCAGAGTAGCTCTGTATTTTTAATTCTTCAGTACCACCGTAATCACCCCATTACTCGAGATTATGATTGATAAGTAAAAGATTACGAAAGAAGCAGTTCTGTGAGCAGCAGAACTAATGAAACCTGGTTTCTTAAGGCTTTTCTGTCTTCCACATGTCCCCGGTACCCCTTTCCCCACTGCGGTACCTGACTACAGCATCTCCTTCCCTCTCCCTCCCTTGATAATGCACCCCCTTCACCCCGGGATCCCCTCCTTGCCTGACCCGGCAGCGGGAGCCCCCACAGCCAAGGGGTTGGTGGTCGGGTCCTGCCACCCACCTGCTCAGCAAACCCAGCAAACGCTGCCACGGGGCTGCACAAATAGCTCTGGGGTTGCTCGCAAGCCCAGCAGCGTACAATCTACTGTACAACGTTAGCGTTTTGGAGGCCTGTCAAATGGAGTTGAAATCAGTTCAGAGTCGAAAGACTATGAAGGAGGAAGAAGAAAGAGCTCGCGTGAGTCTCATTTCACTAACGCACCAAATCTTACACACAAGCCTCATTTCCTTGGGAAACCACATTAAAAATAACAAACATGTTTTTATGCTGGTGCTGTAAGGAAAAGTTTTGAAAACATGTCTTGAATCAAGACAAATATTGACATCAAAGTACAGGCAAATTTAACTTTTTTTTAAAAAAAAAAGAAAAAAACTGATGTCATTACATATCCTATAGCATAGCATTTTTCACACAGAAAAATTCAGCTGTGATAGTTGCAGTAATTAAGTGTTAATGCAACTTTCTCTAGTGTGAAACCTGATTTCTGAAGTCTGCCTTGGGAAAACAAGCAATCCCTGTGATACAGCAAAATGCTGAATGGATTGAAGACAGAGGGCCCTTTCAGCCAGCTCTGATGTTGGCAGGACAGCTAGTGCTGTTCATCAAAAGCAAAAACATCAAACTAGATGCCATTGTCTAAATCTCCCAGACAAATACTCACGTGGAGTGCCCTCGCTATCAGCTCTGCTCCACTTGTGCCAATATCGTTAAACATCAGGTTAAGGTACCGCAGAGTGGAGTTTTCCTTTGGAACAAACAAAGCGGAAAGCAATGAGACTCTTTTCTAAAACACACCTGCATTTTTCAAAAAGGAAATATGTCATACACATACTTAAAACCTCTGTCCTTCACTGCATTTCAGGCAGCCCCTGATTTGGAGAAGTAGTTAAAGAATACCAAAGTACATCAGATGATGATGGAACGGCAGAAATATATGTAGTCTGTAGGTCCTCGTGGGGCTTACAGAACCCAGCTAGGAACCAGAGTGCTCAGCATGACCAAACGAGGCAGGTAGTCAAGCTCAGGTGCAGACCTTCAGGCATTTTATGAAATTAATGGCCCTCCCTGAGCTCCAGGAACACAGGCACTGAGTGGCAACTTACCATTTTCTGTCTGTATTCTGGTGCTTACAATGACAGAAAGGCAGCATTAAAGTTTCCTATGTTTAGACCTACGAAAAGGCTAAGAGAGAAGATAAAGCATCTAAAACAAAGGCCCTGGCACACTTGACACTACCATTACCTCCTTTGTTGAACTGAACTGTAAGCCTAAAAGCCCCACAGTTCATTCCACCATTCTTTCTTCATGACACCCTAGCCAAATGTCAAATGCTTTTCAACCAGAAATTAAAAATCTCCCCAGAGAATACAATCTGAGATTCTAGTGGGATGGATCTGGATGTGCAAGTCAACATTAATGGAATTTTGCCAAACCAATGCATTCTTGTCTACAGTTTACCACAGATAAATATTAACATAGTCAAATAAATGACATGTTACTGAATGATAAACATCATTTTGGCACCTGGAGGAATGTTGCCATGTGCTCTGCTCCAGCATCAGTCAATACATTACACCTAAGATCCAAACCTGAAAAAGATGAATGAAGAATGTGACAGATGCGTATCTACAATTAGCTGATCTCTAAACAAAAACAAATAAAGATGAATTAAGGCTGAAATCAAGACTGCTTATGTTTTCTTATATTAGCACAACAATGTCAAACACACATGAAAAAAGCTTACCGGTGACAACTACAGTACTGCGTAAGACAGAGGCAAGAACTTGAAGATCGTCATCTGTAACTCTCTGCACAGGCACTAGGTGATTATTTCCAGCTATTTTTAATGTGATCCCTTTTGTCCATCTGCTGTTAACATAAAAATGTAAGCACATGGGGAGAAGTAAAATGATACAGAAAAATGAATTCTCTCTCCAGATAAGGAGTGTATCCACGCTTGCCCTCGCTGATGTGTTTGCATGCAGTTAGCTGCTGCCGCTACCTTTGGTAACAGCACGGCAGACGACACAATTCAAACTGTACCTCAGCACTGTCCTTTTTGATATTCTGAAGACACTGCACAGCTGCAAGACCACGCTTAGCACACAGGCACAGACAGCAGGAAGAAGCAAGATATGGGGAAGGAGGATGGAAATAAAGACTCTCCTGGAGGCTACATCATCATCTCCCTTTCCTTTATTTAGTTTATCTTGCCCTCAGAATCAAAACCTAACACAAACTATTTCACTACACTGTATTTTCTCTCAAAAGGACAGTTAACTTTGACCCCAGGAGCATCCATGAGAGGAAGCCCTACCTAGCCACATAACGGGAGAGAATTTGGGTGGTTAATACCTTGGCAGGATTCAGAGACAGCTCAGGGAAGCGTTACCAGCTGGAACCTAACTGGATGCAGCTGAGGCTTTTTAAACAGAAGTGAGACAAAAGGAAGGGGGGTTAAGATGACTAGACACTGGGTTTGGCTTCTTTAAGGGACGCAAAGGCACCATCCCTTACATTTTTCACTTTTTTTGATTTCACTCCTTGTAAAGCTGCCCAGAAGAGATATATAGCTACAAACTTCTGCCAAGATGATGTCACGATGAGTCAAACCAGAACTTCAGCAGTAAATGCTAAGTATGATTTGTGTTTAAGCCTGAAACTGCATGAACTGTCTCATTGTTCAATTTCTTGTCCTGCTATCTTGTTTAAGGCTTTCAGAAGCATCTGAAACACGCTGTTTGTTATTTCCTTACATTTTATCATTTTTATCAGCTTCCTGAAGCACATGAGCAATGAAGGGGTTTTCAGGTTGGCCCACGTTTTGGCAGGCCTGCACATAGTGCTGGTGAAGATCTGGACGAACTGACATGACCTGCTGGAAAACAAAACAAAGCGTTACTGCATCGTTATGGCAGCCTAGCAACATCACCATGGCCCCAAGGGCTGTTGTGCTAGGCTCTGCGTAACAATAAAAATGGGCTCAGTCTGAAAAGGGTTACAACTCTTGGTATGCAACACTAGAATAACAGAGAGATACAGACAGACAGGAAAAGCTTGCGGGGACGAATGTGGAATTGTGGACGTTTCTGATCCCCCATCACCTAGGATATGAGCTAACAGAGAAATAATGTTCATGCATTACAGGTCCTTTTTCCCTGTAGAGCGGCTGTGCCCCAACCTCTGCATGCCTACCTGAGCGATCAGTGCCTCACGGTGACCGGCCCACCGGCGAGCTCTGCCCCACGGCCCAGCCGGGCTGCTCCAAGGTCAACAATGTGTGGTCATGGAGCCCGTTTCCAAGGAGGACAACCCAGGCCCTCCACCAAGAGGGAGTGGGCAAAGGTGGCCAGACCCAGCCCAGGGGCCCCACTGCATCTGTGGTGCCTGGCCTCCACAGGGAGGGGAGTTTCGGCAGCTCACCCCCAAGAGTATTTACTTAGTGGCCTGCCCACAGTCTCTGAGGAGCCTTTGCCAAAATTTCCATGGTTACACGGATTAGCAGTTACTTCAAAGGTGCCTGTGCTGGTCTTTTCCACCAAATAAATCCTTCTAGCGACTTCACGACTGCCCTTGAATGCCGGAGGGGGTGGGCTGGGCTCGCATGCTCTCCTGCCCTACAGCAAGTGGGGCTCACACCCCGGTACTGACCTCAGAGCCAAAGAAAAAGAAAATACCCTCTTGCAACATCTGAATTAGACTGGGAAGCCCAGCATGGGTCTCTCCCCATGGTGGTTACTCAGTTCTTCCTCCTTGTCTTGGTGGCACCTGGAAACTGCCCATCTCTGGAAACATGATGTTCTCCCAGTGCAGTTACAACAGCAGAGAAAAGGGCGTCAGTAGGAGATGACTGACAGCTGCCTCCTGACCTCCACTGTCTCTCTTATCATTCCTTAAATGCCACCTGAAAGGTTTCTTCTGTCCAGATATCAGAGGTCAGTCAGGTAGTCAGTCTACCCTTCCCACCTCTCGCTCTTTTGCTATCAGCAGTATTACAACTTTGAGGGTTATCAAATATCAAATTCGCTGGCGTTCTCTGGCTCGGAAACCACCAGGTGTTATAGAAGAAGGTGCCACCTTTTTACATGAAGACTCTTGCAGTTTTATGATCAACATAGCTGAAGACAGATCTCAGTCAGTGTTTGTAAATATAGGCTTTCAAGACTCAAGGAGGCTGCTTTGTCCAGCTCCCCTGACTTCATAAGATCATCCCCCAAATTTGGCTGTTGGGGCACTTCAGGATGCACTTGCACCTGCTCTTTGCAGGGGTACAACTGAGACTAGAACCTGTCCCTAAATACTGAATTCTGCCAGTATTTATTCAGCATAGGGAGGTCTTTGAGTACTGTTCATTTTTAAGTTTTTTCTCTTCTGAATTTAAAATAAGGAGCAAAGATGGCTGAGTCTCAGCAGAGCCAAGAGGGCAGCACAGGGGGCACTCATTGCCTCGAAGCTGACTCTGTTGGTTTTGAGGATGACCATGATCAGACTGCACAAGAAATACCAGTGAATGAAGTGCCAGAGAATGAAGGTCTTTCTCCCACAGGCGTCACAGACAGGATGTTTTTCATTGAATTAGCCAACAAGCAACTGTGAACCATCTCACTGGGGGTCTTGAGTCTAGAATATCTGGAAGAAGTGCACATGGAAGAGAACCTGATTGTAAGCATCCCCAGAGACATCAATTGCCTGAGGCACATGAAGGTCCTCTATTTGGGTCAGAATCACATATAGGACATATGTGAAGAACTGAGGAAGCTGAAATATCTTCTGAGCTTAGATTTAAGTAACAATCCCCTCTCCTGTAGTTCGCTACCAGTTATCAGCAAGTTACAGTCCCTTCATCAGCTCAGGCTCTATAAAACAAACTTGCACAAAATCCCAGTGCAGATCTGTGAACACCTCCATCATGTTGAACTGCTTGGCCTTTCTGACAATAATCTCAAGCGTCTGCCTAAAAAAATAGTGAACCTGAAAAAACTCAAGGAAATTTACCTCCAGAAAAATAGATTTGAAGATTTTTCTAGGGAGCTTTGTCATATTGCTAATTTAGAAATAAGAGATATGGAACAGAATCTGATCAGTCTCATCCCAGAAGAGGTAGGCTTTTTGACAAACTTAGTTAAGCTAATTTTAGCTTTTAATAACTTATCCTCCATTCCTCCTACACCGCAACACTGCCAGAAGCTGGCTGTGCTGGATCTGTCTCATACTCTCCTGCACAAGCTTCCCCCAGGTCTGAAGAAACTCACTGAAATGAGAGTACTCTGTCTGCTAACAGCCTGGACAAGTTCCTACACCAGATCTGCTGCTGGCCGTCCTTTTGCCGTGTTTATCTGAGGAACACCAGACTGGGCACAGTACCCAGGTCCTTCACCAGATTAACCCCCGTCAGGATACTAGATCTGAGTGAAAATTGCTTTGTTGAGATTCCTAAAGGAGTATGTACTATGAAAAACCTGGAAGTATTGGCCCTGGATGACAATCAGATACGGGAGATACTTGTTCCTTTGTTTTCATTTTTATTTTATTGATACGTCTCTTTTGCAAAATCTAAGTCCTTCCTTAGAACTGAGTGCCACCTTTCCCTGCTACAGTGAGAAGGCATGTTCCACCTGGAATGCACCTGAGCCTGGGTTACTCGTTATCACTGACATCTGAGTATTCAGGCAGGGAGAAAAAAGCAAGAATGTGGAAACACTGACCTTTGTGTTGAATCGTAAAGGTGAAATAGTGACTGGAGGGACTGCTTCAGTTTTTTTGCATCTTTTTTTTCTATGTACACAGGAAAATAAGAGCTGCATTTGCGTAGAATCAATACGTCACAAACTGAAACAGAGCAGAGAGCAATTTAAAAATGGATGCGATATTGTTAATGCCTTTAAGACCATTAACATTTGCTGTTCATTTGATAATGAACAATTATGTACTCTAAAGCTGTGCTATTATAAGCGTAAGACTATTCCTGGACATACCCATTTTAGGGCTCAGAATACACCTTCCTTTTTATATAATGCAATGCATCTTTTCCAAGGAGATTTTCACTTGTGCAATTTTCTTCTTGAAGGTTACATTTACAGCAGTAGTAATTTATGCAAAAGAATCACTTTCAGATTTCATTCATTTAAATTACTCTCCCCTGCGCTGTGCATACAAAGGAAATGAAGAAGCACACTAATGTTTCTGCTGAGAAATAAAATTAACCCCATAAGAAATCTTTCCAGCAGAGGAAACAACATGGACTTTTTTTTGCCAAAATTTCCACCATAGTGTGAGGTATAATGTTATATTAATGAGCAGAATATTCTGTGTTCATCCATCAACAGTAATGCAGCTCCACAGCATTTTCTTGGAGATTTTTCCCTAAAAACAGAATCCCAAAGATTACTGTTCAATTGACATAATGTATCTTCTTAATGACTGTGTCTGGATACCTGCGGAGGTGAAAGAACTGACAAATTTGAAATGCCTTAGCCTGTCTGAAAACCAATTCAATATCTTTCCAAAGGAAATCTTTCTCCTGGAGTCGCTAGAGAGATTATACCTGGGCTAAGGTAAAGAAATTAAATTCACAAGTCTGCCAGAGGACATCAGCAAATGGCAGGTAGGAGCAATAGAAGGGGGAAGATCTTGGTCTGCTGCACTTCCATGGACTTCAGCTGCTCGCAAATGAGAGACTGAAGATTCTCCTAATCTCGTTAGGTACATCATGCAGCATCAGGCCAGGGCTGTCAGAATAGGAATGATACCAAAACTCAGTGTTTGAAGCTCACATTGTCTCTCTGTGTTTAGTAGTCATCCCAATAGTTAGCTCAGTTTATAAACCTTCTGCACTTACAGATGTCTCTGTACATTGATTATATATCACGCTAAGGAGTAATCCTTTAATTATTAAAAGCTATGCACACATATTTTCCAGAATCTGAAAGAACCGCATATGGTGAATAATTGTCCAGCATACCTGCCCACAGCCATCGGCTCATTGACCCACTTGAAAACACCTGGCTGTCGCAACAATCTCCTTAAACAGCTCTCAGACTCTGTAAGCCAAATACAAGGTGAAAAATAGTCTTTGTGGCCTTAAAGACACAAGTACCAGTAAGCATTTTGGAAGAAGGAGGCAGAGAAGGGAAAGAAGGAATGTAATGCATCCTTCAGGGCTCATCCTGTAATTGTAAAGGAGTCAAACAGGATAAAAGTTAGGAACCGGGAGGGTGGGTGAAGCGCTGCGCCCAAGTCAAGTGACCAGGAGATCCTTCCCCATGACCCATCTCAACCTCAGGAGACCATGGAAAAGGCTGTTTCCCAGAGCTCACCTCCAAGCAGACCCCCTGATGTGAGATGACCCACTGGGTCAGCACCAGTGACTCCAGGGGAGTGGCGAGGAACCAGCTTTCTGGGGGAGCTCCCCAGCCCAGTCTTTCCATCTTCCTCAGTTCATTGCATTTCTGTGTGGCTTAGTTTACTAGCACTGTGGCAAATTAGCAGGACTTTTGAAAGCTGAATTTGGCCACCTAGCTACCAGGTGAATAGTCTTTACCTGGTGAAGTAAATGCTTTGCTAGGAGAGCCTGAGTCCCATCCTTCTTTATTTGGGAGTAGATACTTTGAATTTTAAATGCTCTGGCGAGATGTTCATTACATGCACAGACTGAATTTTTTGTGCATCGTCCATGTGCTGTTTATGAGGAGCAGGCAGGAAAGCTCCCCATCATTCCTGTTCTTTGGGCTGCAGCTGTTTGCTTTTGTGTGTTCAGGTTTGCAAAAACTGCTCGTTCAGAAAAACAATCACCTTCCCAGCTGCCCAAGGATTTGGACAGTCTTCAGCAGCTGGAGCTGGTCCTTGTGGAGATGGGAACCCTATGACAGACCCTCCGACTGAAGTGTGCTGTCGGGGGGCATCTGCCATCTGGGAACACTTATGGGAAAAAAGGTGTAAAAAGGTGATGAACTTAAAGGTAGGGGTGTTAAGAAAGCCACCACAATATACATACAAAGCTGTGGGTTTAGTAATAGATACTTTGTAGAACAACCTACAGCATACTCTATGCAACATCCAAAATTTCTTAAACTATCGTTTGCATCAGCTATGGGAGAGCAGTACTTGTATCGCTGACAATGTTAAGGTAGGATATAGGAAACCATCAGGAAATACAGCACTCAGCATCATTCAGAAACGTTCCAGAAGGTTGTCCCTGCTCTGCCAAGTCACAGTCAGCAGGCACAGAACAGCCATTACAACTTTCCATGGAGCTTTCCTTAATTCCTTGTCCAGCGGAAGGGGAATGGTTAGGGTGTCTAACAACAGGTCAGATCCTCTAAGTCAAGGCATTGCTTACAGATGAAACTAACTGCAGGTGGCATTTTCCACTCTTGCTGACTGTATTTGACCATAGAGAGCTGAAGATCCATTGTGCAACCACATTGAACAAACCACAATTTTTGTGTGTTTTTGTTTGTTTGTTTGTTTTTTTCCCCAAAAGGACATGAGCCTGTATCACCAGTGGGCCAATTTGCTCAGAAAAAATACAGGGCAAGAAGGAAGGAAAGGCAAATCCTTAGTCTTTGATTCTTTTGAACCTAAATTATTAATCTCTTTCTGTAATGTCTCTAATTTCTCCATGAACTAATGTCTTTCTCCCAAATTGTTCTTCTAAACTAAAAGGTGACATTTAAAGATGTGTAGACATAGTAATTTACTACTCTAATCAAAGGGTCTGGAGAACTACAGTGTTAGTAAGAAATTCCTCTTGAAAAAAATAACACACAGAGTAAAAGAAAAGTCAAGTGGCTGGCAATCTATCTTAGCTGCAAACAATGTAGTCTAATACAGAATAAAAGGGTTTTTTGGAGACCACAATGTGCCTGGCTTTTTGCATCAAGAATATCCACCAGTAACAATGTTCCACATCACTATTTGCTTTTACCCTTTTCCTCCAGGTAACTGGATTGTTCTTCTCCCTTTTTCAGATCCAAAGTTTGTGGCGTGGGTTGATGAACCAGAAGGGGATCGGACCTTTCTTGACACTTAAGAACCTAACAAAAAAAAAAAAAAAAAAAGGAAAAGAAAGCAAACGGAAAGGCAAAAGAGAAGCCTGCAAAAGGATTAAAAGCCAAAAAGTGATATTTGGGCAGTAAACTGCACAGAGCTCTTTTCATTTACAAGAAGGGCAAATGTGAGCAGAGATAAGCAAATGGGAGACAAGCAGCGTTAAAGCATTTGAATCGGTGACTCTTACAATGAAAACAGATGATTTTTTGAGGTTTGGGTTTTTTTGGTTTTGTTAACAATGACCCCAACTGAATCAGGCAGATTCTGAAATATCCTTGAGATGTCTCGTTCTGAATGCATGTTATCTCAAAGCATAAAGGCAGCTGATTCACTGGAAATTAATCCAATCTGCAGGAATCTGGTGCAAAGAGGTGTTCTTTGTTGTGAATCCCAAAGTATTTTACATGCAATTCCTAGAAATCTGTTTTCCAGTCAGTGAGGTACAGCCATGTCTAGAATGAAACAATATTTGTGGCCCCACCTACTAGCAGTTATTCAATGAGTTTTACATTCAGAAATGATCAGTACCTTGTTTGGAAATATGGAGGAGGATTCCAGGCAGTCAGAACATACGCACTTCTACCAGAACCTGCATTACCATCCTGCCTTACAGGGGCGTAAAAAGCTGTTTTGTAAGTATCTCTACACTTTTGCAAAACTGTTCAGTGATGTTTTGACAATCTGTAGTTATAGTATTTTGAATGACTGCAAGCTGTCAAATCCTCAGTGTTACAGCTCGTCTCTGAGATAGCTTGGTGACAGTTTGTAAAATGTCTGTGTTCTACAGGCTTATTTGAAAGCAGAGAGTCTGCAGAATGCAATATTCTGCAATGATTCTTGGTCCTGGCGTGTCATAACACCTTTGTCATTCAAAAGAACCATGACAAACACTCCTTATGATAATTCTATCATGCCAAATTTATATGCAACCATGTCTTTCCACAGCACTTTACAGATAGCTGTTTGTCGGAGACATCTGATGTCCTTGACTAGTTTTTATTGTGTATTGCTCAGTAACTCCTTACACCCCTCCAGAGTTTTAATTGCAGCATACATAAAGCACAGAGCTGTACAGGCACCGGCCACTGTGCAGATTCAAAATGCAGGAGTGGGTGGGAGCAGGACTCTTTTTTTAGTTTAATTGGCTGGTTGGAACTGCAGTCCTTCTGTCCCTTTCCTTGCCTGCGTTTCCTCAGAGAAGGTGGTGGCATCCTGAAGGAGGTGGTGAAGGCAGGGTCACTGAGACCCAGCTCTTCCTAGAGCTCCACCTCCAGGTAGTGCTCTCTGAATGCTCTGGCTACGTCTGCATCCAGGGTATGGATCTTATTTCTGCTTGGCTCTTGAATTGATCGATACTGAAATCTCATTAATAGGCTTGTTGGCAGGAGAGAGCTGGGACTGCAGAAAAGTGGGATGGCTTGGGTTTGGTTTTCCATTTTACTAGGTAACTGATGCTGTTTTGATTGTTTGGAGGTGTCTTATGAAATATTTTCACCCTAAGTGAAGGCAAAGAGGCACAGAGAGAAGGATGATTCAGAGACCACCAAGGAGGAAATCACTGGAAGAGAGATATTTCTGGGAAGAGTGGCAGATACACAGGACATTTAATAGAAGTGATTTGGTAAAAGCTTTTTATTGGCAGAATAGGTATGAGAGAATCACGAGAAGGCAAAGGACTGAGAAGGAGATCATAAGCAGCAAGTGGAGAGGTTGCTAGCAGTGAGTCCATACTGTGCTCTGGAGCTGAGAATGAGGAACCCAAGTATGCCACAACAAGAAACCCCAACACTGAAGTCCAGTTCAGTCAGTAAGATTACAACAAACACCAGACATTAAACATGGGCCAGCTGCTTTACTGAATTTGAGGGAAAGGTTCAGTTCAGAAAGGAGCAATTCAGAGAGATTCTCACAGAATACATAAAGGATCAATTTCCCAGTTGGACCAAAGGCAGATTTGAGGAGGAAAGTCACAGGAAGGCAAGTGATTAAGAGAAGAGGTTGCTGTGCTGCTGTCAAACACAGATGATGGTACTTCCACATCAGAATAACTCTATTGGCTTGAGTCACTGCTTGAAAGTCTCTCGTTAGCCCTGTATGAAACTGGGGCTCTTTGCTTCATTTCAGAGGTTGAGGATCTCTGTAGAAAATAACTGATCCAACACTGCAGCAATTCCCTGCTACCTCTGACCAAGAGACTCCAGTTCATATCATATTTCTTAGAGCTGGGGGAGATGAGCCAACTTTTCAAGTGCAACTGAAACTGGAACCAGGAAGTCCATAGAGACCCTCACATGAAATCATGGATTAAACGATCAAGAGGCATCAGTACAGCATGGTCAGCTGCTGGTTATAACCCTGACCAGCCAGAAATTGATGTTGGAAGGGTCACCTGGACTGAAAGCTGAACATTGATCTGCATCTGCATGGGAGAACTTGCTGAGCGGGGTCCTAGCAAGTTAGGAAAGTGCCACTGAATGATCCTGTTGTGCCTCTCCTCCAGGAGATTGCTGCAGCATGTAGATATACTCAGGGCTAATTGAGCAGTACTTTATCCCTCAAGCTGCCTCAGGATTTCTCTAAGACTCCTCCCTCAGTGGGCAGATCTAATATCTTTACTTCCTAAAATACCTTACCAATGAATAATCCCACTGCAGTCTTTGAGCTCACGTGTGGGTTAACATGCTCCAGACATGAGTAACTATGCCACAATTTCGCTCTGTGTACACAAATACAATAAAATACCAAATAAGAAATTATCAAATAAAAAAAGCAGGGGCCACTTACATGTCCCAGGTTGGCGCTTTTTCTAACAAGTCTTGGGCACAGAGCAGGGTGCTCTGCTCTTAGTTGGAAGCTGCCTGATGGCTTTGAATAATAAACTTTGTTTATTATCTCCTGCATTTTTAGGGTAAGGATAAGACCACTGTCTATGTCACAAGGTGTTGTGAAGGTTAATGGATTAATCCTGAATGCAGGAAACATGAAGGTACTGCGGGGACTCCTACTGGCTTTCATATGCTCTAGATCAGACTCTTAGATCTGGAAGTTTGGGTTTGAGCTGCATGTCATAAAAGGGTCTGTACAGAAAGGGCAGTCTGTGTAAGGCTGAAACAGCTCAGAATGAGAAGGAGCGTCCCTGAAGTATCCTGAAATCTTTGCATAGCCTTATCCAGAATGCTTATGGATTGCTCTGCATCTGAAATCTTTGCTAAGGTAGCGGGACGTATCTCTGATTTAAGCTACCACAGCATTTCCCTTGCCCCCGAGACCTGCAAAGACACCAACCAACTGTTTCTTACCTTGGTTTTATGCTGATTCTGTACATAGGACTCATCTACACTATGAGATAGCATCAAGGGCCAGACCAGAGGCAGAACAGCTTCTTCTGTATTCTCCTTACTGGACTAATATATAATCCTGAGTTGCTGGGATGCTTTCCAGATCTCACAATTATGTAGATTTAATGCATTCACAAGGAGGCAAAAGTTTTGGGGGAGAAGAAACTAAAATTTAAAACATAGAGGTTTCAAGAATTTTCACATCAGAGATATTTTCCTTATATACATGAGGCCACATACTTTCCCCCCCCCCCCCCCCCCCCAGCCCCGCATTAGCACACATCCTAGCCACCTCCCTCCATCGGCAAACCTGCTGTGTGTCCATCTGAAATCATCACTGCTCTTTTGACAGTCATTGCTGTATTCACAACACAAAGATTAAGTGTATATAGTAGTGTAAAGATGGCCTAGAGAATCTGGAAGAATACATTATTAAATGGAATGATCTACGCATGCAGAAGGTTAAATAACGGTTCTATACAATTGTGGAACTATTTCAAGAGCTCTCATGAGACAAGATTACTAAAAACTGGGCAGTCTTCTAAGTCAGAGACACATAATACTTAGTTCACATGCTGCTTGTGAAAGGCCTTCCAGAACTTTCACCCTCCATCAAAAGTCAAAACGAATGTTTCTTTTGTTGTCTTGATTAAAGCTTTCCAGTCGTTTCCGCTGTGATTCTGAAAGGACCCATCTTTGCATTCCCAGCTCTGCCAAGACAGGCAGCTTTGTCAGTGCTGCTAGCAACTCGCTGAACCACATCCCACAGTCACGGCACGACGATGGGCGAAGACTGACATCCAACTCTGAGAGTTCTTTGAATACTGCTAAGCCTTGACAGAAAATGACCCACCCTTCATCAGAGATGTTGTCATTGTAACTCAAATCCAGCTTCCGTAATCTGGCTAGATGGCCATCCCGTGTCAGTAATGCTGCAAGAAATGACAGAAACATACGCAACTAATACACCCTGGCAATTGCTTTAAAAGCTTATAAGTAAGAAGAGTAGTATTTCAATACCATATTATTTAAGGCTTTTCAGCAGTCAAACAGCAAGATTCAACTCCTCAGCAACATAAAATCACTTGCTGTTGATCTCAGATCGTTTTAGCACAGCTGAAGGAACGTACAACATTTAAAACACAGGCGATTCAAACGGAACAGAACCATCGGGTTAAAATTGTATGGCAACCTGAAAATCTTTGAGTCAGTTGGAAGGAGGTTATATCAAGTGCCAATTAAAATAGGCAGACAGGCTTTACAGGGAGATTTAGAAAGAGGAAAGCAGAACTAGATGAGGCTGCAGGATTACACCAGCCACCTCGCACTGTAGGAGGGTAATGGGCCTAATATACCCTAAAGGGAACAGGGATGATTGGCAAAGGAGACAGCCATCAAGGGAGATGTTTGTAAAGTCAAAAATATTCAGGCTTCATCTCAGCAGCCCTCAGATTACAGGTTTTTAATAGCTGTCACACAGCTATTGCCAATCTCAGACACTAAAACCCCATGAGTCAGGCCCACAGAATCGCAAGGACGATTATAAAATAAACAGGTTTTTAGATGGATCCAAGAATTTCTTCCTTCATTGGGTTTCCATTTTCCAGTATTTTTCAGCAGCTGCTAAGAGGTGGGCTAAAATATTTCTGTTTTAATTCTCCCATAATAGTTTGACTCCAGAAACACACCTAATGAACTGAGAGCTGGTAGTGCCTGTATTACTGGCTGTCAGCATGCACACTTCCTATAAATTACTGAACCCCAAAACAGCAACCGAGCAAAATAAACCCCCTCAGAGCTTTAAATATCTGCTATAAAAACCAGACACAAACCCTGCATTTTCTAAAAGTGCTGCCTTTTTGTATTAATAGATAAAACTGCTAAAAGATTCTTTGCATTTTTATCCTTTTCAGCTTTTGCACCATGCATGTACAGGACACACAGCCTTCAGCAAAATGAAAACCCTTTCTGGGAATAATACTGCTGTATTTTCCATCTTTTCATTTGATTTATGCAAAAACGTGCTCAGCCCAGGGAACAAGTCCCTCCTGAATTGTGGTCTAAATGCCCTGGCTCTTTGACTGCTAGTAAATACCATGTTATACGTACTTAGAAGTGCCAAATCTTCAGCCACCAAGTTACAGCTGCTCAGTCTTAACACTTGAATCTCCGTTGCAAGCTTTAGTGCTCCCAAAAGCAGCTTTAGGTTCCCACCAACGCACTTATTCCAAGAAAGGTCTAATATCTCCAGTTCAGGAAGGTGAAGGGCAGCTTCAGCTGAAAAGATTAAGACCAGCAACTTCTGCTTACTAAGAGAAAACAACGCGGCCTCAACAGACATCTCACCGGCAATTCACCTGTAAATAGGCTCCTAACAGGCTGCCTACTTGTGCTTAGAATTACTTATTTTAGTCTAATAAAAGCCAGACAAAAAATACCTCCTGCACTCTTTAAAGAATGTAAGAAAGGCCTGCCTATAGAATCTTTAAGGACTATGTTGAGGGGTTTCTTGTTTTGGTTTACGCTATTGGTTTGACCTTGTCCCTCTGAAGTCAATTTAACAGCTTGTTTTTAAACCATTTTATATCAATTTAAAGACAGCAATTTTTGGTTGTGAACTCACCACGCAAGGTGAAATGCTCTGTATCTTTTGACAACAGTGATTTCCATGATGTCACTCTTACATAATTGTAGTGATATAAATATAGTACTCTTCCTGCAGGGACCTCGGACCAGTTTAGCTTGCTACTGCTTCTGCTGAAGGCAGTCAGGTTCTACTATAGGTTTCAATGTCACTAGTAAATGGTACAAAATATATTATAAGTGCACAATACACAGTAACTAACAGATCCCTCTGTACTTAGATTTCATGTGCCATATGGAAAGCCTATCAAACGGAGACTGTAGCCGCTAATCCACTGAGATTTGCAATAAGTAGGTAAAAGAGGCTGAATTTACGTATCCTGTGTTAGACTGGACTTTTCTTCATAGCTGTGCAATATCTTTTCCCCTACTGCAGTCATTGCCTCAGTTCCTCCATTGCCCCATGCTTAACTATCCCAGAAAGTTTCTACTGAAATTTTCACCTGCAGTGAGGTGAAAAACATTCAGAGAAAACTTCACACCACTAAACTGCAAAAGCAGTGCCACAACCAAACTATAATTACAGCATAATATGAAATCAAACTATAATTACAGCATAATATGAAATCATGTTTTGCTTTCTATTCCAAAATTAGGGAGTATTCGAAAGCTCACTATCAGACAAAAACTAAAAGGACTTCATCCAGTCAGGTATAAAGGGGGAAGACACACAACGTTCCTCCCTTGCAACCAGGTCCCATGAAGCACTGGTTTCATCACAGGTTTTTTCACTCCCAACCTGTGGTATAATGTAACCATGATCTTTGGAGTTCAGCCAAAGGAGAATGAAGTGCTTTGTCCCACCAGGATACACAGAGAATAGACACACTTAAACAAAACATTCCTACCTAGTGAGGAAAATGACTCTTTACGTAAACCACAGTTGCTGATGGCCACAGATTTCAACTTCGGTAAAAACCTGAGCCTGCCCAGAAGAGGATCAGATGAGACTCCTACATTTTTATTCGAGGATAAATTCAACTCTTGAAGACTGGAGAGTAAAGGTATCACCTGGGCTACAAAAACATGAAATATTTATTAGACAGTCACCAATCCAGAACAAATAGGTAGTTTCATATTTGCCTGACGTCATTTCTTTTCTTTATAAATCAATCCAAATGTCAAGGCCAAGTTTTGACACTCAAATTTATGGTGAGTAATGTTTTAGACCATAAATAGCCTTGTCATTTTCAGTTGGAATGTTTAAGAAATTAGGTATTACATACTGTGTGGAAGGTTGTCAGAACACGGCTTCCTGTTGAGATTTTCTCAGTAAAGCAGGGGATTTAACATTAAATGAGATGGGAGTTACTTCCAAATGTCTTCACTGCTAACTAAAACTCCTTTATATTAATGTTATTATTCTCTATTGGTCAAGAAATTAAAAATAAATCATGATTGCTATTACTAATAGTTAATACTTCCCAATGTTTCATCAGCAGCTTTTCAAATTAGCTTCTTTATTATGGAAAACAAGATGTGGGCAATATAGGCTGTGAGTCATGGGAGTTTTTGTTGTTGTTCTAAAGAGTAAAAAACAATATAAAAAAGTTATGATAATTCACACAGGAAAATAAACTGTCGCACCGATTAAATGGGAAATGACTTTTTCTTCCTAATTGTATTTAAGAGTTGGATCAAGTCAACCTGGAGACTGCAGTCTTCAGCTTTTCTATAATGCACACAGCAGCAGCAATGCAAGACCTCCTAACATCACTCTCTACTTGACTTTAAGTTCACCAAGGGAGCTTCAGGCAGTTACATTTATATGCATGTACGTACCTTGGACCTGTGCCAATTTACACCAGCAGGGAAACTATCCCTGGATATTTCCAAAATTACCGATTATCAAAAAAAGCAGTGCTTGGTTGCAGTTCCTACATTCCCATCATGGGTCTGAATTGTGGTGGATTCAGGTCCTTAGTTCCCCATGGGATCAGACACTATGAGATTTCCTTTGGTACAGCAAAAAAACATTCCATATTGATCAAGAAAGCTACCCTCCACACTGGAGTTTCAGAACTGACTGATGAAAACGTACTGAGAACTGCTAGACCAAGTCAGGCAGAATCTCTTATGCCTTTGAGATATTTTCAGAAGTCAAAACCTACATTCTTAATGGATTTCCTCAACATGTCCTTACACAAAACGGTCATGTCCTCTTCTGTTACACAGCACTGGTGGAGATCAAGGACTTCAAGATTTTTCAAGCTGGCCAAATGAGCTGTTGAGTCTTTAAAGCCACCACCAACCTCTTTGTTACACGATACGTCTAATTTTCTTAGCTCAGCAAGGTGTTGTAAAGCGGAGTCTGAAATGGAAAAGGGAGCATGCTGGTCACTCACTGGCTGCCACAATAGCACAGGTCATGACTTCAGTGTTTATTTACTTTAATGTCAAAGTTTGCACAAGATATTGCAGGCAAAGCTCTTGGACTAAGCTTCAGCATATAATCACAGCAGACATACAGTAATACCCCAAAGCTGCCCATCCATGCAACTCCATTCTTCTCTCAAAGAGCAGGTGAAGGTGAGGCCAGCTCATCCCCCAGATCCATTCAATCCTCAGCCTTTTGCTGAAATTACTACTGGATGTGCTAATTAGTGCCAGTTGTTTTGTCTTATGGGTAAGACCTCCACTAGGGAGAGACACAGATAATAACCCCATTTCATATGGCTTCACTGGACGCTCATTAAGTGATAATGGTGAATTTGGATTCCCCTCTGAGAGTAGGATTAGTTTGTTAAAAGTTAGCTAGCCTGTCTGTGCCCTTGTTGATGTTCTGTCTGGTGAGAGAGGAAGCATGTCCAGAGAGCCGTTAATCTACCCTAAGATGTGTCTCAGATAAATGGTGTGGAGGGTGACTCTCCCCACTGACTTTCACATGCTTGAGCTCAGGGAAGATAAATGCTACGCCTGCTGAAAGTCTCTGTAGTCTTTTATCAATCCTCAAACAGCAAATAACGATTGCCCATTAATACTGCCAAACCATCAGCAAAATCCCACCTCATTGCCTTTCTTAAATGGTTTTCAGATGTACAATTTATTCAGAACGAATGTCTTTCTGAACATAAAGTCTAACCTAAGCCCTGGAGGCTGTCTTGCTTTAATCCACACATGTGCACGTTTAACTCTTTCAAGCCTGGCACATTTTTCAGATCCTGAGCAATAACCTTCATGCTGCAGCCGATGTGTTTGTTGATAGAGAGATCTAATACTTCGAGGTTTGGGATCACATCTAGAATTTCAGCTGGGAAAAAAAAAGAAAAGAAAACCAGAATTTGTAATTGTCTGGAATACACGCAGACGAACCCTAGAAAAATATAGCACCATGACAAACAGGAAGAAGTAGGCTGGGTTTGCCTGTATGTGTGGTTTAGACTTACTAAGTTCCTGTTCTACCTAAAAAATACAGCAAAACAAAGATTGGGCAGGAATCAAGAAAATAAGTGAAAAATCTATATGAAAATAAAGGTGAAAAAATACAAGGACAGTTAGAAAAATACAGGGGATAAAAAGCAGGAATACAAAGAGAAAGAAAAATTTCTAATGAAAAGATATAGGACTGTGTGTTGCATATGACCACCTCCTACAGTGGAGATAAGAGCACAGGGGCTTCTCTTTAGGGAGAAAATATCTTTTAAAACACAGAATCGGATCAAAAGACCACACAGGATTAAGCTACGGTGAGAAGAAAGAGGGAAGGGGTGATCAGTGGTTGCCAACTCAGCCTAAATTCCCACCCCTCAGGTCTTCTTTCCCATCCCATGGCTAACTACACATTCAGCTACTTAATTTTAAGCAATCAGTGTTGGAAATTCTAGCCCACATGATTTGCTCTGGGTCTCAACGGATCCAGCAATCCTGGAGCACTGTGGCAGCCAGACTGTGGTTTAGATCTCAACCCTACCTCACGTGATTAGAGAGAACAACTTTCTTCTTTGGAAGGAAGTGCATTAAACCCAAATACTGTGTGGTAAATACTATTATAATGCAGAGCCTGAAATAAATTAACTTTCAACTAATAGTGAGCTCAATACAGCCATAATCTAAGTCAAAACAGTTACATTTTTGTGAAGCCAGTCTCTCAGTCCAGCTATGTGGGTACACATACCAAGGGATTCTCCATCCTTTGCTGTCAGGTTACAGTCTGTAATTTTCAGAAGTTTTATCTTGCATCCTTTCTTGAATTTTTTTGTCAGGAGTGATAGTTTTCCACCTATGTTACTGTTCCATGATAAATCCAGTTCTTCAAGTTGAGGAACAATTTCAAATGCCTCTCCTGTAACAGAAGCCCAAGATGATTCATTCTAGGTATCAATTTCAGTGGAAGACAAAAATAGCGGTTTTGAATATATTAAAGGGGAAGGTTAGCCATTTAATTCTCAAATTATTATATTTCGTATGGCTTTCCAGGAAGATTGGTATGTGCCATGAATTGTGGCTACTGCAGCAATGTTGTATAAATTCTCACCTTGTCTAAGGAACAATATAGATCGCAAGTCATTGTCGCAGCACACACAGACTGCTTGGCCATCATTGTAGACCTGTGCCAGGACCCAGAAAGTCTGGTCCACAGGGAAATCAATACAAGTGACAAGCTGGAATTTACCGTCCTGTATAGTTCTGCTCTATTTTATTTGGCAAACTTCCAACATCCTCTGTACTGTGCCCACAGGTCATTTTGGAGGAGATGAAAGAAGTCCTTTTACAGCTATTTCTGAAACTTAAAAGTTTCATTTCTGACAGGAATTTCTGACTCACTTCATAAGGAATCAAGATGAGCATCGTTTTGACCAAAACTAACTTTCCCATGATTTCAAGGCAGACACGCTGGTTTTGAGTACATTCAGAAAAATTAGTCTTTTCCAGGCTTGACGTACCTGCCAGTGTGAACTGTGTCATTGCTTCTTTGTAATATTAACATCCCACTGCAAAATCCAGCTTCCTGACTTCCTTTGTAGAGGAGGCAGGCAGATGTACATTTGCATAAACTCATTCCCAAGAAAGATCAATTAATCAGACCATATGCAAATGCAATTTCAAAGTGTCATACATAAATTTTTGATCGAAAGTCTCGTCATCAACCTAATAATTGAGAATTGTATTTTAATAATAAAACCCTTTCAGGCCTGTGTGTTTTCATAAGTAATTCTTCACAAAAGATTTATAATAGAAAAAGAATTATTTCTGTTCTTCTAAGTGAATATCCAGGTTTGAGAGAAAAGGACATGTCTTAATTTTTAATTTTGCATTTATTTTAAGTTATTGCCTCAGTCTTGAATATTGAGCAATGCACTACAGTTGAGAAGTGGGTTTGCCTCTGCAGCGTAGCCTGTTTCTGTTTGACATGCATTCCAGACACATTTTCCGCCCAGAAGATAAATAAAGGACTATAGCTCCAGGATTAGTTTCCTACCACCTCTCTCAGTCAGAGCTCTAAGCCATTACATAGGAGAGGTTGATATTATGGTTATATTTGAGGCATTGATTTCTAAGCAGAATGCCCTGAGTCCACAAGTGGCCACGTTTCCACAGACCGATGTGGCAATATCCAAACAGGCACTATTGGCCTAAATATGCATGCTATTTTCAAAATCGCAGGCAAAATCAATGCAAACTGACTGTTGCTATACCACATGTCAAGGGCATCATATTTTGACTGGAAATTCAAGTCCTACGATGAGTTTTGTGTCTGTCTCAGCAGAGGCCAAGCCAGAAGGGCAAAGGAAACAGCACAGAAGAACCAGGCAGAATCAATCAACTGGAAATATAACGAATAAAACTCGAGAGAAAACAAAGCAAAAGAAAAGGGTTTGAAAAAGAATGAAATAAATTTGACAAAAATCTGTTAGAAAATGAAACATAGATTTTACCCTCATCGGAAGGAGACCAATTATTTCCACCAGCTCTTGCAGAGATGCATTTTTCCTCCCCAACAGATAGCATTACCCACTTCTGAGCTACCACCATATATGTCATTTTATTTCGGAACTTTCCTGGAAAAAGCCTGGATATGAATGACATAAACCCCAGCTTTATAACTCAGACCTGGTTTTAGAACTTGCAAAATAAGCCGTAGTTTTTTAGAATTCCTAGTTGATTGAGTTTGCCCTTCTTTTAGATACATATCACAGACCCACCCCAGAGTAAACTCCAGGCCCAGAGGTAAGTGACTCAGCGTCAGAACCTGAACGCAGAACACCACCTTTAAAACCTTTAAATCTCTCATGCTTTGCAGAAAGCAGGGTTTCAGAAAGCACGGTTGCAGGCACTCGAAGTAAAGAAGTAAGCAGAGGAATAAGCTTCTCCCAGACTTGCAAAAACAAGTCATAAAGCTCCAGGGCAGCACTTCTGGTTTTAAGTCTCCTCCAAAAGACCATCCTTTTTTTTCTTTTGTGATGAGCACTTATCTGCCCTGCAGCATGAAGATCTAAGCTGACCCTATTATGACTGAATCTGTTTTGGTTCTTCTGTCTACCATTAGATATCAAAGCTAGCAAAAAAACCCCACCTAATCCAAATTGAAAACATGCTTTCCTGCAAACAGGACTGAATTCTGTTCCCTTCTGAACATGAAAGCTTCACACTCTGAGGAATGAACTTGGCAGAGCTACTCAGATGTATAAGGACACTCATAAACCCAAGTTCTTTCTACTATTTCACAGCGGGAGGTTACCTTGCCCAGTGTGGAAGGAGCAGGAGTAGGCTATAGGAAGAGATGAGATGGATTACATTAGATCCAAGCTGTCTGGAAGTTTAAGTAAATGAAATCCTGTACCTAAGGAGGTGACATCCTCAGCTGTCAGCCTGCAGTTGTTAAGTCGAAGGACTTTTAACAGGTTCACATGATGAAGATGAACAGTGAGAGCTTTCAAAGTCCCACCAACATAACCATTCCAGGACAGGTCAATCTCTTCCAGCTCTGGGAGAAATGGCAGTAAAGAAGCTGTAAAAAGAAAAGAAAAGATAAAGCGTATTCTGTTTGCATGTTATCTGCACACCCTGGATATCGATACATCTTAATACAGAGATGCCTTCTGTAACCAATCCAGCATTGTAAAGCCATGACAATTTGTACCTCCATTTGCTTATCTGTAGTTTGAGTGTAAGGAGATTCATCTGTTTCACAGACCTGTATGATTTTTATATTTTTATGTACATTATATAATTTATTAATTAACATTTCTCAGAAACCTGGCACCACCAGATGGAATGTTAAATAAAGCCAGGCCAGTATTAAAGAAAGGGAAGGGGAAAGAGGAGAGTGAATAATTGAATAGGCAAATAAGAATTAAATAAATGTATGAAGTGAGTAGTTGAATAAAATGTGTATTTACCCAGCTCTGTTACATCTGCTGCACTTAAAGCACAATTATTTAGATCCAGATTCTTGATGTTGGCTTTCTTTCCCAGTTTCTGCATGAACTGGTTAAATCTCTGCTCACCAGATGGTGACTCCGCTTCAGAATTGTGATGTGAAAGTCCATCTGAGTAACAAAGAAATAGGGCCCTGGTTACTTCTGCTACTAAGACAATGTGTAAAACCTGTCTGTGGCTGTCAGGTCAAAACTTCAGGAAATGAACTAGACCAGTCAGTAAACAGTGCTATATTTTTGATCAATGTGGACCTGATAACCTGAGTCAATAACCTGAGTGATAAAATCACCATAGATAAGATCAAAGGTCCTGATGCAGAGTGAGAGAAGAATCTCCTGCTGCACATCTTCAGGCTACCTTATGCCACTGACTTTGGATGTTTGCACCACCAGTTCAACGACATGAAATTCATGCAAAACTCTGAACCACAGCTATTCTGGACGCACAAGTCGTATAACCACCTCCGTGCGCTTGCACTGTAGCCACGCTGCTGCAATACAGTCTGTGCTTGATCAGTTAGCAATGAGTGGCCCTGCAGTCGTGGGGTGAACCTGCTGCTTCCTTCATGACAGCCTGTGTTCATTTTCATACATTGTCAGAGTAAGGCAGTTCCTGCTTTTCTCAGCTTCCCAAAGCAACCCCCACTTACCTTCTTCCACACAGTTCATACAGCAAGGGAAATTGGATTTACATTCATTGCTAAACCCTTTAACAAATCAGTAATTTCACCTAATGCCTATAGCTGGAAAAAAACAGCCCAAAATTACACAAAATAGCAATCCCATTCGCAGTAACAGTCCTCTCATTGTTTCCCCAAACCTACCCAAAACTCTTAGGACAAAGGATGGCGTTCTAAGTCTCACCTTCCAGCTCTTTTTTAAACATAGCCTCATTTTCTCTGATGTGAATGTAACAAGTATTCTTGTGTGTGCAAAATAACATACATGATGAACTTCCATTCCCTTCCCCTCCCCCTCACCAGTGTCAAGTGGTAGGAAACATCTGCTCTTGTTGTCTTCAGATTGCTTTAGCAGCAGGGTGGACAGAGACTGATCTTAAATACAACAAGCCAAGCTACTGCACAAAGCTTGGCTTTGAACCCAAATAAGCTCTGCAACTAATGAGCTGACTCCAGCACTGACCTCTCACATTGAAGATCAAGAGAGAGGTGACCCGAAAGATTTATCCTTCCTCAGCAACATGGATCTCACTCCTTGCTTGGCACCTATCAAATTAGAGGGCACATCCCTGATAACGTTCCAATCAGAACCAAATGCTGGCTAAAGGATAAACTGCAGGCAGCAGAATACAGGATTTTGGCTAGCAAGAAAAGCAACTGATTTTCTATGAAATTAAAACATATACACATGCACATGTATTTCATTATTGTACCAGCATTACCTTCTACAGAGAGCTCTTGCTTCTCACTCTGATCATCAGCTCCAGAGTCGTTTATTTCTGTTTCTTCAGTTTCCCTTCTGTCCTTGCCTTCAGATTTACCGAAGTCAAAGCCCCTGAAGAATTTTTTGATGGCTGAAGGCTGCTCTTTTCTTTTTCCAGGAGAGGACCTCTTCCCTTGGAACTGTTTCATAACAAAGTCAAATGGGGAACTCTTTGGGATGCCCTCTTCACGCTTATCCTGGGCGCTCTGAATGTCATCTTTCAGTGGATCAGCAGACATAGAAAAAATAGTTTTAGTAACAGTCACTCTTGCTTACCTTTTTTCATAATGGCAGATGGACTGAGAACTTCCTACCATCCCCTCCATATGGGAAAAGCACTGTTTAGTAGACCAGACTCTATATTCATTTCTCCTCCTTCAAAAGGAATTGGCAATGCTCAGTATTAGCACAGCAGACTCAGTGGTCCTAGTCCTCAACGGTACAAGTATCACCCTCTGCTGCCTTGTTAATGGAGACTGCCCCTAAGGCCACCCCAGCTGGCCACCAAGCGCAGAAGGACTAACCTGCTGCTTCCTCTATCGTTTAATCGCAAGGTTCAGTTCATAGTCTTGTGGCCACATTAAAGACGCAAGGCTGAGACGTCCCTGTTCTGATGGGGTGCCAGGTTAAGTTTGACACCAAAGTGATTCTTCATGCTGAAGGCCAGTCCGGCAGTCAGGAAGGTGAGAGGAGGAAGCGTGCAACAGGGAGTACAAGGACATCCTTGCCTCAACAATGTCACACACTCCCAAGCTCAAGGTGGAACATGCAAACGAAACCCGATTAACCTTAGAGCAAAGCTGAAGTGATAGTGCAGAAAACAACCAGATACCGTAGCTACAAACACCGGGAGTCTGCCACTGCTGGAAGACAACCACCCCCCAGATAGCTTGTTTGGAACAGTTCAGTACTATAGTGACCTCAGTTTCAGTGACTAATTCACAGGTAAATTAAAGTTTGCCTTTATAATTTACACACATTCTTTCCTTATTTTTGTTTATACTACACAAGCTATAGCACCATCCGGTGATCCTGAAGCTGCTTTGTTTTTCTCTAAACATTAATTTAATGCTCTTTCTTTAGTTTTAATTCTAGCATTTGCCTGCACACACATGCTTTTAACAGAGCAGTCATAAAAACTGAGCAGGCATTCAGTGACTTTTGCTTTGTGAGGACAATGTGGACAAGATGTGTTTCAAGCAGGGGGCACGACCTGTCCTCAGACCTCGATCCTGTAATACACCAGAGCTCACAAATGGATTTCTGTGCTCGCACAGACTCCCCCTTCCCCAGTACAGACCTGCACACAGAACTTATTCCACAAATTGCTGTCATCCATAGAGTACATGAACTTGATCATTTTAATAACCGTCAATTATAGAGAGTGCCACTGGCACCAATTTTCCAAAAAAGAAAAACACATGAAGAAGTAACAGAAACCCTATGACTTGCACAGATAGTTTTCATGTTATTATAGCAACGGTCAGGTCAGGGAGGAAATGTCAAAACAAAGCAAATGTAGTTTTTATATATAGATACTTTTTGTGTGTGTGTGTGTGTGTATAAATGGGGGTATATATACTGATGTATATATATGTACATAAGTTTTCTTATTATGTTGGAAGTTACTTACCATGATACAAGGGCAGAGCACTTAAAATTACGAAAAGTTGATGCATTGTTTAAAGCCTTGCTCTTAATAGCCTGTGTAAGTACAAAAATTATACAAAACAATGTACACAGCTGTACACGCACATTTACTGAGCTGTAAAGCAATGCTGGTTACCCTGGATGTGATTTCATGCTGTAGAGTGGTAGTATTTTAAACAGAGAAACAAACATACCTGTCTTTTCCATTGGTATGCTTGAAGATCTCTTTCACGTTTTACAGTACTTTCAGGGCTTGCAGGAAAAGTGAGCCATGACTTGCAAACAAAACCTCACTTCTTTCCTTAATGGGACTTTCCACGTAGTTCTCTTTCAAAAGTTTCTGTCTTCATCAGTTTGATAGCAGCAACTCTGCACAAGCGGTGTGCAGGTTCTTTCCCAATGCCTCTATTCTTCTGCACTCTCTCCCAGCGTCAGCCTGCTGTCCTTGGACTCTCTTTCCTGGGGGAGTGTTGAGAAGTCCATTTAAATGCCCTGATCATGTCCCAGCTTAGATCACTCGGAAAGCAGAAATCAGGAAGTGGCAGCACAGACTTTGATACTGCACACTAACCACTGCATGTCCCTGAAACAGCTGTTGTTAGAAGAGGCTGAGTCACCTTATAGATCAGGTTACAAGACTACCTGAAGAAAAGCTCTTTGTTTTCCCACCCCTTTTGTCCATACTGGTTAGAAACACTGCTGGAGGCTGAGCAAAGCCGTGCTGGCAGCAGGATGTTGCATAGTTCAGTAAGAAAAAGGAGGACAGAAAAACAGAGGACTGGCGCACTCCTGTTCATTTTAGGGCAACGGGAGACCTACTGGAGAGAGAGAGAGCATACTGCATCACCTGGCACAACCTGCTCGTAGGCAACAGCATGATACAACAGTACGATTAAATCATTTGATACACTTATACATACATCAAACTTCAGTCTTTTTTTGTCTGTCTGTCTGCCCTAGAATCTTATTTCCATGATGGCAAATGTTACAATTTCTAGTTTAAACATACTTATGGCCATTTATGATGAATCTTTTGAGCTTTGATGATTCTTTTTAATCTGAGGTCTTCACTTTTGTAGGCTAAGCCAACCAAACTCTTGTCTCCCCTCATGTGGCAAACTCTCCGTTTCCCTTATCATTTCCTGCTCACCTTTGTCTGCACCTGTTGCAATATAATTTATACTTCCTTAAATACAAGGGACCATCCACTGATATGTATACTCTGAAGACATATGCAACCTGGAGTGCTTTTGGTGGCGAATTATAAAGTTGGTCAACAAAACTAACGACTCCTTTGAAAGCAGCTGAGCAGACACCAGCCGTGAGGACAGGCTTGACTCAGTGTGTCAACGTACAAATGACTCAGAGAGGGTGGAATCAGGCATGGGGTGCTGCTAGGGGACAACAGGATAAGATTAAGAGAAGAAAAACTTGAAGTTAACATCAGGAAAATCCTCCTGCCCACGAGAAGTACCACGCTGGGAAACATTTGCAGTAGGAAAAAAATGCATAAAAACATTGTGACTAACTGTCTTTCCCTGCAGGAATGGAGGGCACATTTCTATTCCCAAGCAGAAAGGATCTCCAAGTTGGTTTTAGGATCTTCTGACACCAGCAGCTGCTGTCCTGTCCCAGTTTCTGAAACTAGTGTCTCACTACAGACCGTATCAACAGGGAAAGATCACCTCACTTCTCGTGTTCAGGCATCTCAGCTATACAGACTATCAAAAATCCCAAGCATTTCTGTTGGTAAGGAACTCATTGAATTTGACAGCTCTTTTCCACTTTACTTGTGCTTAACATGATGGCCAGTGATGAAATGGAGACAGAGCAACCCGTGTTTGTGCACATGTGCCAGGCTCTGGTGGCCCAAGACACTCCATGCCCGCTGCAGTTCAATGAGAACGTGGAATGGGAATATCTGATAATCTCTGCTCCCTGGAACTGGGGAAATCCTTAAGCATGTTAAGCACCAATTACAGTGGTTAGGCTTGGCTAATTTGAATGCTCTGACATCAGGATGTTAGGTGATATGTTGCCCATTCAGAAATTCTTTCTCCACTTTAGACTGTTGAATGATGGTGAAAATACCTCACGGCACCACGACAGCGTCCCTGTAATCTGGTGAGAAGGGAAATGTAGTTTCTTGGTGACCTATTTTCCTCTTCCCAGAAAGCAAATCGCCACCTTTTTTCAGAGCAGCTATGAGGGAAGCGGGGACAGCAGGGTTATCCCAAAACAAAGCAGGATAACTAGAGCGAGGCGGCTGCACTGAGCTGAAAATTACTTTGCAATAGGCCCAGGCTGTGCTGTGAACACACAATATATCACGACAGCCAGGCCCAGCCATGCTCCCGTTACCTGCTAGACTGGCCCTTGCTGTGTCGGTTGCCGTCTCCTCCATGGCATACTTCTGAACATGTGTCCTGCTCCTGCCTTGAGGACCTGCACGTCTGCTTCTTGCAGTACGTCATGGACAGCACAAGGCAGGCTTAGCTTTTGGAGTTTAAAAATAATAAACGCCTTCCCCTTTCTATCCAGTTAAATGGTTTGTGACCATCTGCCGAGTGCTCAGTGTCACAGTTGTTTATATCTACTCTTCCCTCTGCAGAGACCTGGGGCAAGGTTAGGAACAGAACCAATTTTGGAACAAAATAGTTAAAGTTGCATCCCACACAGCATCCACTGGTGAGAGATTAACGTGGATTTTTGTACTTTGCCTCATTGTGACTCCTTAATCCGGCATATATTCCAAAGAAATAATGCCATTAGAGGATTAGTGCCACAAGTTCATTTGAAAAAAAGGATTTGTAAACACTGAAATCCTATATTCTATGTACTTAATCACTGAGTATCGTTTTGGGGATTTCCTCTCCCTTTAGTAGTGTCTCTTTCAATGAAACCCAAGCAAAGCAGCAAGTCTGTTTTGGATGGCCCTTATTACTCATTAAAGGAAAACAAAACCCCAAGCATCTAGTTAAAATAATAAAGAATCTAAACATGCTGGACTACACCCATCCTTGCTCTCATACAATTGTTGCAGTTATACCAGGGAGGCACTTGGCCCAATATTTAGATAGAATTTAATGATTTTGGATATTTATCTGCTAAGGGTTTTTAATATTCTGAGTCCTGTAGCATGTAGTAACACAGTGACTCGTTTGCTTCTAAGGCAGTTCCTTTCTCCAGCTTTGCTCACACCAGTCAAGCCACCGTTCTCTCTGTGAGAGAAGAAGACTGAGTCGCTGCCACGTTATTCTTTCTCCCTTTCCTTAGCACTTATCTCTGCTGCTCTTTTTCCCCTTTCCGCATGACTGTCACTGCCTGCAGCAGCATCCATGGGCTTCTCTTGCTTGGCTCGATTTGTTGCAGGCTGCCTAGGTGAAGTGGGCAGTTGTGTGGGCCAAGAAATTGCTGGGGGTGGAAAAATGCTTACTGCCCCATTGCTGACTTTGCCAGTGCCAGGTGACTTGCTCTTGGGCTGTGCTGACTCAGAATACACGTGCCAGGAGCTGCTGCCACATGAGGGTAGGGGAAGAG